CTAATGTCCTCTAATTCCAAGCATCTAACACCCGACCCCCTGGCCCCAAGTACTACGACTTCAGGAGGCCATATCTTCACCGTTTCTTAACGGAATCGGGCGTTTAAAAGCTCATTGGAACCAAGAAGCTCTTAATAACGCTCACAAAATCGATTTGGCCAATTACGTAATTCTCACTCCAGAAATGTCAAATAACTGCCTTACCCCAAGTAGCCACGTCACAATATGAAACCCCGTTTTTCATGTGGATTACTGGAGTATACACCTTTCCTCATTAGGTCAGGCAACCCAGATGGTCTTTCTCAGACCAGGGATGTGCTAGCTAGGCTCATCCCAATTCACCCACCCAGCCTGGGCCCTTGAGGTCCAGGACCTCCCAGAATCGTCTTTGAACCCAGTCAGTCTGGGGAGCTGACTGGTGACACGGATCTGTTGAGAACACAGGGTGGCATCTTATATCCAGCCCTTGTCTCCCTAACCTTACACCGCCCTCGCTCTCACTCCTAAGGTTTGCAGCTGTCCGCTCATAACCCATTTTCGGAGTGTTTCCTCTTTGTTTTCTTTTTCTTTTTAATTCAGCAATGGTGGCATACTCGGGCCATCCCATGTAGTGCATACAGCGCATACGGCAGATACCCCTCGTACGCCAATTATATAAGTGATCCACTCAGTGAAAACGGTGGTCATTATGTAGCGTCTCGAACAAGCGGAAAAAGGTGTCGCATGATAAGGACTTTGGAAGAGGAAAGTGAGAAACACGCTTGATGGATGTTGTGCGGAGCATTGCTATGTTGATTACAAAGAGCAAGGGGAATGGACAGTTGTTTGTACATTTTTGCAACAAACGTGACGAAATTCAGCTGGATTGTGCATGAGAATTGGAGAGTGCGTGTGAAAAATTCATGAGCGACAACAAGGTATACGCCGGAAAAGAAATCGAAGCATCAACCACTTTCCAGGATTGTGTGTTGCCAGTGCACGCACGTGTGTGAGTCCTATGAATGTGTGACTCCCGGATGGTTCATTTTTGGTGTTCAATGCACTGGAACAATTGCGTCAAGGGTAGGCGAAGCCCCACAGTATTCTGACACACAGCGCTGCAACAACGTCTCTTCCGCCGATCCGGGGGTCCACCACAGCCACCAGCCCCCAAGCCGCGCGCGTGACGTGGGCGGCTTGGGGGACTCACTCCCGCGAACGGGGGCCCTGTCACCGATTCGATCCGATTCGATCTTCCACCCTGGCCGACTTCCTGACAACCTGCCCCGCACACGATTCGGCGGATTGGCATATTTTGGGGGGTTGCAGGCCACGGCGCAGACGGACGGGCCGGATACATAATGCCGGTCGCTGTCCAAGCTCGCCCGTGCTCCCCGTGAGACCCCTGCCACGCCGGGGACCCCGCTGCTGGCGCCTCTTCTTGCAGCTCCGCTTGGGCCGGGGGCCGGCGGCCGATCGCTGGAGGGGGCCGGCATCGGCATGGCGCTGCCTCAGCCGGCCAAGGCCGCCGGCCTCTCACGGCAGTACGCGAACCTCCTCATTAGCCGCGGCGTGCTCACGCGCCAGTTCATGGTCCTGGTGGACCTGGAGGAGCGGCAGCACAACTGGGGCTTCGTCTCCGAGCTGGTGGACATGTACCTGTCCGACTCGGCGGCGCGGATGCGGCAGATCAGCGGGCAGCTGCTCTCACCCAGCCCCGACTTCGCGGAGCTGGAGCGGCTGTCCATCAAGTTTTCGGGCAGCAGCGCCACCTTCGGCGCGCGGGGCGTGTGCGAGCTGCTGGCCAAGCTCATCGGCTGGGCGCGGACGGGCGACCGCGAGCGCTGCGCAGGCGTCGTGGGGCGGCTGTGGGCGGAGATGCAGGCGCTGGAGCCCGTGCTGGCGCTGTTCGTGCGATTCGACGCGGTCAGGAGGGCGCCCGCGCAGGCGGCGGCGGCGGCCAGGGAGCTCGGGCCGGCCGCAGTGGTTGGGCTGTGATCCCCTGACGCCGGACAGGTGCGACGCATGGGCGCGACGATGCCGCGCTGCAGACTGGGAGACGCGGCGCGGAACGCGACGCTGGGCGCGCGGAGGGAATGGCCGCGCCCGGCAGCGGATTCCGCGGCGCGATCTGTAGCCATGTCGGCGAGCAGTCGCGAGTGAAAGCGTCACGCCTGGCGTAATGGCGTCATTCCGCGCATTTGGCCGCGGCCACTCCGCGGGCGCCACCCACCAGTTGCGATCGAGCTATGCGCGCAGCCCGCGAGCGCGGTGGAGCGCCGCGTGGTCGTCGATGGCGGGTGGGGTGGCCGACCCACCTGCCTCGGCTGTTGGTTGGGTGTGGGACCCGCCGCGGGCCTGGCCTCGGGGCCCTGTGGCGAGATACGCAGTGATCCGCCAGGCATCGTATCACATCTGATGGCCGCATCACGCCTCACTGGAGGGGCCACGTGGACGCTCTGCGTGGCTCCCGTTTCTGTCACCGGCTGCCGGGAGAAGCTGGAAGCGGTCATCGTCCCGGCCTGTTGCCGCGACGCTGCCCAGAAACGCCTCGTGCACCCATAGCGGTCTTGGACGGGAATGCATTCTGGCTTCGATTGCGCACGCCTGGCCGACGCTGGGGCATATATGCCAATCAGACGTGCGCGGGCGAGGCAGCGCACCGGCGACTAATCAAGCTGGCAATTTGGGACGGCCGTGCCTCCTCACATGCGGAATGTCGACCATGCTCATGAGCACGAATGTAGACGATCAATTTGGATCTCATTACAATGCTTTGAGTGATGCTGTTCCAGAGTGCGCCCTGTGTTTCGTCGCGCCTTGTTGCAGTGGCTCGGGTTGGACCAGCTCGGGTCGGCACCAGTATTCCCCAGCGTCGGCATTCCGGAAAGGTCCCCTTTCAACTGCCCAGCACGCGCCGTGCCGTCTGCACATGGTGTTCAGTCGTTGTCCCCTGTGCCAACAGGATTTTGTTGCCTACCACCTGTGGGAATGGCTGAGGGCAACTCGTCGAGTTTAGAGTTCGTGCGAAAGAAGAGCAATTTCATAAAACACAGTCTGCATGATTGGCTGGGTGATAGGATTCGGTGCTGATACAAGCTGACGTCCTAAGGGGGGCAGCCCTGCTGCATTCAATCAGAGTGTCACTGAGCCGCACCAACGAATGTGAGTTTGGGGAATTAGAGGGATTTCATTGTTCGAGCGCTTTGCCTGCCTGCTGCCACAATGCGAGCTGCCTCAGGATCTGGTCTTTTATACCATCTGAACTCTCTGCTTTAGATGGTGTGCAGCTCTATCTGAGTGCAAGCTGTCTTTGAGAATAAGTACGGGGGTTAGTTGGATAGCTGCATGTGGACTCGAGTAGTTCGAATGGCAGCATCTTCAAGGCCGAATCCCTGTGAGTACAGTTGGACCGTGTTCGCTTCAAGAGGACTTGTGCAAGGGAGTGAACAATTTTGTGCTTCCACGGTGGCTGACGAAGAGCTGCAACAGAGGAAATTGTGCATGCTGCGACACTACTGCTAGAAGGGAAGAATCCTAGATTGGTTCAGACCAGTGATTTCGTTTCTGGGAGGTGCACGGGAATCAAATTGGTGCAGGGCTTGTGTTCCAGTGTCTCTGCTTTGGGTTGAGAGGAAAGCACTGGGCGGCGATAGCAAGCTTGTATGTTCTCAGGGAGACAATGTCAATGGGTGGACAGTGGGACACATCTCAGAACGCATGAGCGGAACCGTATTGGGGAGGGTGTCGTTCAGGAGAGTCCAGATGGTTTGGAGCTGGGGATGGGTGCTGCACTTCGCGCCAGGGCACAAGGCTGTGACTGCTTTTCAGTCTGGTGGGATTGGTTTCAGCAGCATTGGCGTTTCTGTTGAGCTAGGAACTGGTGGCTTGATGGGGACTGGACGTTTGAGGAACTGCCACCTTGGTCAAAAAGATGGATGCTGTGTATTCAGCACACACCCACCAGATAGATGCGCAGATCCAGCAGATACTGACTGTTGAAGGCTGTGATCAGAATGCACAGGCTCTGCCTGGTGGAAGGCAACTGCAATCAATGTGCTGTGTCATGTCTGACTGGCTGGTTTTTGGAAGAACGGTCTGCCAAGTGAGTCAATGAGCGCGATTTTGGACTCTGTTATGATGGACATGTATTATGACGTATTGGGCTTTTTTTGCGAGGGTTTGGAATTCACCAGGCTCTCATGAGATGTAACATTCCCAAGAAAACAGCATCTTGGCAATTGCGAGGGTGGGCGAATCGTGTGGTGGTGGTAGGACCCCCTGTTGGCTACCTTGGATTGTGTCTTGCGTATGCTGCACCTTCAGGACCAACAGCAGGACTTGGACATCTGACTTACGAATGGCACTAAAGTCGCCTCAGCCTTTCCGCAGTCGTTGGACAGAGAAACCGCCAAGAGCTTGCTCAAAGAACCTGCGTTTTCCCTGGTGCTGTCAATTACACATTGGTTGACCATTACCAGAAGACGCTTTGTTCTGACGACTTTCCTGGCCGTGGTCGAAAGAAGCTGATCTCGGTGGCAGGGATTTTAGGCACAAACTACCAAGCCAGACAATTGGCTTGCTACTACAGCAGCAGCAAAGGGCTGAGAGTATGAATTGGACGCCCTCCCAAGATCTGTACCCTCGACATGGTACCGCACGTCTGGCGTGCCAAACCTGGGCATGGAAAGGCCAAGTACGTGCCCCGCAGCAAATCGCTTTGTGCCCAAAGGGTACCTGCACCTTGGCAGGCGCGATTGCGTCGACAGCGAAGTCAACGCCTGTATCAACAAGTTTAGCTGTGGCGGAATACAAAACAGTCAATGCTGAGGACCTTGTAAGTGATCCTGGGACAATGAAACTGTGGATTCCAGCATGCCTGACTTCCGCAATGCTAACGATCGGTCCGCCACTGTTACATCCGCAATTATTTTGTGGTAACGGAACACAAGTTTGAAAGCACGCAACCCATCAGATGGATTCAACCATGAAGCGTTAATGTGCACTGTGCTAGAGAATTTTCTGGCATTACCGCGGCCACAGAAACGACCGAAATTCGGCATAAACTGCTCGAGTCATCGAGTTTTCGCAATGACCTGCAGCGCTCATGAGGCTCTGCCGCTGGCGACTACGGAATCTGTGAGCCCATCCACGATGATGCAGCTGTTGATGACCTGCCCCTTTGTGTACGATCACTGCAGGGCTTCGGTTGCCTAATTGGGACAACCTGTCCAGGTACCCCTATCTGATTACTAATCTGTTAAAGCCATGCCCAACATCATCCATAAAACGACAGCGTGATCATCGGAGCTAATGCAAATGAAAGCCAAGAACTTGGGCTCGGTCGTTGGTGACCACTGCGTTCCAAGATGAGGGTGGCAAATCCCTTCGTACACGCAGCAGCACTTTATGGGTTTGGCATGCCTTCAACCCCCCTTAGGTATGCGCTCTCACCTCCACCCTAAAGGTGAGTCGACGCGCCCTGTCAAAACTCGGTCAAACACATTGGGCGACGCCCACGTCGCCCTGACCGGTGATCCGCACCATGCTTTCAGCAATTCATCGACCCTTTGTCCTCCTACTACCATTCTCCTTACCAAAGCGTTGGTGGCAACACGCCCATCATGGCAGAATAACCAGCGCTCGCCACTCTCGAACTAACCCATGATCACTTCATAAAACACATTTCCCGTTCACCTTCAACGGCCTTGACACACCATCGCGATTGGCACCCGCCATGACCATTAAAGCACACCAAGTCCATCACCCAAAGCCCATGCAGTCCAACATTCTGCATCATATCCACCGTAGGCTCCAAGAGTGGGAAAACGCACATCATCCATGACCCGAGAGACCGACTCACGTTATAACGACTCTGGATTACCGACTCCCCACGTCCCTGCCGGCGAGTCCAGGCGCGAGGACAAACGACAAATCCTTACAAGTCCACAGGACTTGCCCTCCTCGGCCTCTGCGTGGACAGTGCCATGTCTGCATCTGGAGGGCACGACATGCCATGCCCGCCTCTCATCTCGCGTCCACTCAACCAGAATGTCCGTCCGCCATCCCCTGCCACTTGTCACCCTGCGTCACTACGCATCGCAGCCCGCAACCCATCACTTTGCGCCCTGCAGCGCATCGCCCTGCACCTGGCGGCACATACCTTTGCACCCCGTGCTTCGTCGCGCTGCACCCCGTGCTTCATCATGTTGCACCCCGCGGTTCGCCCGCTTCCTCCATGCCATCGGCCCATCAAAACCCACGCCAATGCCAGCCTCACGTGATGCCCAAAACTGCCCCTCCATCAGCCCCTCGGGTGCTGGCGACCACCATGATGGCCCTAAGCGCCATCCTTGGTAATGCACTAGAAAACGACGCCATCAGAGACTCCGTCCCATGCCACCTTGAGGCAAACGGCGCCGTTTGCGGGCCAGCCAGCGCCCTCATTTAGTGACCAAAACACAAAAGTGGCCAACAAATGCTGGTCATTTTGTGGGAACCCGAACAAATCCGTATTCCCGCATCGAGTCCATATACTTGTCTCCTGTCCGAGTCATTTCCTTTTGCTTTTACCCACATTTTAAACCAGTTCTCATACTCTGACTTTAGCACCTAATCCCAAGCACCAGTTCAGTACTCCCGTGTTCAGAACCCTTCCTTTGAGAAGGATACCAAACCATCCGATTCTGTTCTTGCATGCTGCCCGACCAGCCGCCTAACTACTCATAGTGTATACAATAATTGTACACGCTAGGGAAGGCACCATGACGAACGTGGTATGCTTAGCGTCAACTTGACGCAGGGGTTGGGGGGAAAGGAGGAGTGGGTTCGTGGGCGGGTCTGGGATCGACATCAAATTGGCGCCAAACGTGCCAAAATCGACATAGTGCCTTCCCTTGAATTGGCCGTCACAATGGCCTATGACAATTATCAGCACTGCATTTTCTAATGGCATCTGGATATTGCACAGCTATCCGAAGTGCTGATAAACACCTTTTTGCCCTGACCTCCGATTTCGCTGTAACACTATACATATTGTATTTGGATCCCTTCATGGCGTATCATCAGTGGAGATTCTCTTCGGGCCATCAATTGGCTCACTTAGGTTATTCATCCATTATGGACGTCCATGATACCACGGACGACAGTCATGGGCGTCGCAGCCACCATCACGCGTGTTGCGTCGCCTATTGGCAGACACCCCACGAATCTTTGGCCAGGATACCATTGGGAGCCGAGACACTGAGATTTGCTCAGAATTGGGTTACAATCAACCACCAATCGACCACAAAATGTGGTGAGGAATAATGGATAGCAAATTAAACCGTCAGGTCTCGACGAGCCAAAGCTCAGAATCCCGGTCTAGCCACCCTCACCAAGGCTTGGCTACATATCGTGACGTCCTTCATGACAACACAGAAACAAATCACAACAACGTGATGGCACTTCCTTCTTCTTGATATTAAATTAGGGTGCTTCTGCAAGGAGATGCACATTCATTGTGAACAGCAATCACTAGGCGTACCCTTTCTGTTCGCTTGGGACTAACGCCCACTGGGAATTCTGCCAATGCTCAACCAGACGTGCCAGTGGCATGATTAAGCGCTACCCTTGCCAGCTGATCCACATCATCCATACAATGCAGCCAAACCCTTGAGTGTTGGACGCCAGCCTGTCTCCTATTGGCTCGTTAGTGTAAACCTGCGCTCTCGCGCTTGTTCAGAACCTCCTGATTTTCCCAGTTTTTTTTTTTTTTGAAACGCATAAATTGGTTGAGTGTGCGCAAGGACAGCATGCTGCGGGCCCCCATTCGTGGGGTCTGCGCCAACCGTCCCTCCGCAAGGCGGCCCCAGCTTCCCCCAGCACACCAATCCCTATCATCCTCCCCCATTTTGACCTGTTTCGCCCCTCGCCCGCCCAGCCCACCGCCCACCAAGTCAACCGCCGCGGGACAACCGGCGCGGGCGCCGCCCGGCCCGCCACGCGCGCCTTCCACCCCGGCCCCAGAGGGCCTGCCCGCGGGATCCCATCCGATCGCGGGCCGGGCACCCATCGGACGGCAGGCGCGCGGGCCATCGCTGAGCAATTGCGGCGAACTGCCGGCGACATTGGCGGCACGCCGCGCCGTCAGGCGGAGGGCCTCGGAACACGCCGCTCAAGGCCAGGCGACGCGTCCAGGGCGACGCGAACCTGAGCGCAGAGAGGCAGGGGAGGGGCGATGGCGCAGATGCAGGTGACCGACATTACAGAGCTGCTGAAGGGCGGGCAGAGCCCAGACGCCAATGTGCGCAAGCAGGCGGAGCAACAGCTGCAGCAGTTCCAGGAGCAGAGCTACGCGGGTTTCCTGCTCAGCCTGTGCGCGGCGCTGGCGGGGGAGGACAAGCCCCTTGAGGTCCGCAGGCTGGCCGGGATCATACTCAAGAACACTTTGGACGCCAAGGACAAGCATCGAAAGGTGTGTGGATCGCGACCGAAGGCCGGGGGATTGGGCGGTCTCTCCCTCGCGGGCCATTTCTCTCGCGTCCGTCCGGCCTGGCGCAAAATGCATAAAGCATTGGCCGTGCTAGTTTTCGCCCTGTTGAGGATGGCCTGCGTCCGGGGGCAAGGCTCTGCGTCACGACGGTGTTGCTGTTGTGGTTGGACTCACAGGAGGAGCTGGCGGCGCGATGGGTGGCGCTTGACCCCAGCACCAAGCTGCACGTGCGGACTGTTCTGCTGGGCACGTTGAGTTCGGAGGTGAGGCCAGTGGGGCAGCCATGCAGTGGGTGGGGTGAACGGCGCTGTCCTGGACAGGCCGCTCTGTCGCGGGTCGTGTCAGCCCAGCAATGTTCGTGGGCCTGCTTTGGGCTTAGAAACTTGAATCCTTGATTGCATTTGTCAGGTGAAACATGGCAAAACATAGCAGTGCCCTTGCTCCTTGAAGGCGGTCATGGGTTTAAATTCTCATATGGCTGACAAACGCTGCTGCATACGGTGCACACGCTGCCGTTGGCTTTGCGGCATTCCGGAAACCCCAAAGGAGACCAAGCTGTGCGATCTGGGATAGCCTGTTTTCACCTTAGTCAAGCACTTGGCAAGTGCATTGCCCTGTGCTCAAGGCGCAGCTTGGCTGATCTTCCATTCTGCTTGTTCCGCAAGGTTCCTGAAGCTGGCCACACGGCAGCGATGGTAATTCCAAAGATTGCCATTGTTGAGCTTCCAAGGAAAGAGTGGAACGACTTGATTCCCAGCCTGCTGCAGACAATGGGTACTGAAGGCACGCGAGGGTGCGTCAGGCAATGCACACTCGAGGCGCTTGGATATGTGTGTGAAGAAATTGGGATGATGAGCCTCACCAGCCTGGCCAACAGTCTCCTTTCGCAGGATCAAGTCAACAACATCCTGACTGCGGTTGTATCAGGAATGACTAAAGATGAAGCTGACAACAATGTCAGGCTTGCGGCCACCACCGCCCTCTTTAATGCACTGGAATTTGCACACAACAATTTCGACAATGAGACAGAGAGGAATTATTTGATGCAAGTGATCTGTGAGGGAACGATCTGCACAGATGTCAGAGTGAGAGTGGCCTCACTCGAGTGCCTTGTGAAGATAGCTTCGGATTACTACGAAGTGCTCCCAACATACATGACAGAGCTGTACAAGCTGACTGTGAGAACAATCCAACAAGATGAGGAGGACGTTGCCAAACAGGCGATCGAGTTCTGGAGCACATTGTGTGACGAGGAGATCGACATCATTGAGGTGTGGTGCATCCCTAACTGTATATAACAAAACTGTTAGCTTGCCTGCTCTGCTGCTCAGGAACGTTGTGCCACACTTGTCCTTGGCCTGGACTGTCCATGCTTGAAGGGAGTAAGGTGGGCTTGTCATGTTCGATGGCTACTGTGCTGAGCGCCATTGCAGTCTTTGAGGTTGCTTTTGTAGCCCTGCCCCGCCACAAATCCAACTGTGTATTCCAATGTGTTGTTTCTTATAGGAACGAGAAGCTGCTGCGGACGACTCTCTTGTTCTGCACAATTTTATCAAGCAGGCATGTCCTTCTGTCGTGCCAGTCCTCCTTGACCAACTGACGAAGCAGGATGAGGAGCAAGAGATTGATGACAGTGTTTGGAGCATCAGCATGGCAGCGGGTACCTGCCTGTGCTTGGTGGCAAACTGTGTTGGAAACGATGTGGTGCCACTGGTCATGCCATATGTGCAGGCAAGCAATCAAACATGCTGACACTGACTACTTGCCTGGTGACCTTGCTGCTGACATGGCGCTTAAAGGAGTTGTAGATTCTGGAGTTCAATTTTCCCAGTTGGTGGGATGAGGCCAGTGTCAGCTGCATTTGATCCGTGCACCACCCACCTGGGTAGCAAAAGTTTGCCAAGCGGGCTGTCCCACTTGCCCCCTGACGACCCTCTTGTGAAAGCCTGCATCCTTGCCAACTTGTGCGCGTGCTTTAGGCAGTACATGCTCTGATTTATGGCAGGTGCATTCTTACAGAGCACTCCAGCTGTGGTTGTATGCAGACACTGGCACTCGCAAGGTAGTAGGAAAGGGGGGCAAGTAGAATATGGGCAGCTTGTGTTGTTGCAAGATATCTGGTTCCTTTCCTGACAGCTAGCTTGCGTTTTCCATACATAAACTGTATGGTTATGCTGGTGCGACCTTCTGGGTGTTTTCTGAGTTTTGCACACTGCACCCTTCAATCCTGGCAGCCTGATTCTGTGATGTGATAATTGGTGCTTCTGGTGATTGAAATGTCACCCTTTTTGGCATGTGGCAGGGGAACATCAACAAGAATTCAGTCCCTGACGACTGGCGACTCAGGGAGGCTGCCACCTTTGCCTTTGGGTCCATTCTGGAGGGCCCAAGTGTGGATCAGCTGTCTCAGCTGGTCAACATGGGTTTGCAGTTTCTGCTGAATGCTACGAAGGATCCAAGTGCTCATGTCCGGAACACAACCGCCTGGACCATAGGTATGATGCGGTTGTTTGCTGGAATTGGTGGGCACATTCTTTGTGCAAGGCAATCTCAGCAAGCATGCTGGTGGCATCTTTTGTGACATTCCTGGAATGTGTGTGCGTTCACCAGGGCGTATTTTCGAGTTTGTGCATGGATCGGACACAGGACAGCCGCTGATCACAAACCAGAATCTGCCACACATTGTGAAGGTCTTGCTGGAGAGCATTCAGGATGAGCCACACATTGCTAACAGGGTATGCAGCATTTGCATTTACAACGTGTTGGATACTCGCGGGCATGCAGTGATGTCTCTGGGAGCACAACACGCCATTCTGTGGTGGACATGTCTTCAAGGCATTGCATTCACCTATGTGCAGCCCATTCCTTTGCATTAATGCTCCTGTGTCCCATTCCCTGTGCTGTGATTTGTGTCCATTGTATGCTGCATACCGTCCCTTAGTTTTGTTGCTGCCCTGTGATGCTTTTGCTTTTGCATGTTGATGCGTAGGTGTGCTATGCCATCAGTCACCTGGCAGCCGGCTCTAAGGATAGCGAATCATCAAAGCTGTCTCCTTTCTTCAAAGACATTGTGCAGGAATTGATCAACACGGTGAGTGCTGGCAGTCAGGAAACAGACAATGGAGTGCTGCATGCCTTGGTGCTAGTGTGAGGTTCTGGTTAGTGATGTGCTTGCAAGGAAACTCACATATTGTGCCTGTACTTGTGGCAATGGACATCGCACAGAAGTGAGTGGGGAAGCTAGCAGATGAGCCCCCCACAATGCATTTGGTGGCGTAGGAAGTGGAAGCAATTGTAGCATTGAAATCTGCACATACTGACTACTTCTCTGGCTGTTTAGGCTTTCCGGCCCATGGCAGATAGCTATATGCAGTCCAGGCTGCAAAACTCATCTTTTGAGGCCATAAATGACATGGTAAGGTCTTCTTCAAAGGACTGCCTGGAGATGGTGGGGCAGCTCATCCCACTCTTCCTTCAGAAGCTTAGTGAGACATTCCAAATGGCGGTCACAACCGCTGAATCAAGGGAAAAGCAAAGTGAGCTGCAGGGGAGGCTCTGTGGTAAGTTCACTACCTGTGTCTCGGAGTAGCAACTGCAGTCATAAACAGTCAGTTATGATGTTGGGCCCTGCGATCGAGTAAGATGTAATAAGAGTGTGATACTGAACTCCCTGGCAAAATGGTGCTTTGCAAGTTGAAGGTTATTTGGATGTGTCTAGGGACACCATTTCCACTCGAAGGTTCTTGATCGCTCATGTACTCCTGTAGGGTGCACTTCTTCGTTTTCTTTTGCAGATACCATGAACTCTTAGACATTCTCAGGATCTTGTAGTAGTGTGAGCAGCTTTTTTGTTGTTGCTTGCTTTGGGGATAAATTATGCCAGTCCACTGATATCACATCTGCTCTTTTTGAGGCAGGCAATGTCTGACTGCTCTGACACTTGCTGTGGTTGCTTTCAGGCTGCCTCTCTGTTGTGATCCAGAGGTTGTCAGATACAGATGGCCAGAAGGTTATGGTTGTTCGGTTTGCAGACCAGATTATGGACCAGCTGTTGCAGGTGTTGTCCATCAGGTATGTGTACCACTATTGTTATATATTGGAGGGGCGGGGGGGGCCACCCGCTCTGTGTCCACGTGACATCTGCCTTGCCACCATGCTTGTACTTTGTGGCATTTCTCACCTGCCCTGCAATTGAGGATGCCTTACACAAAGATGCCACCTGGGTGCTGTCATTCAACTTTCTGCAGCTGGCAACAGTGCCAAGGGCTTTGAGTACTGCTGTCCTGGGAGTGATGCGCAGGATTGGATTGAAAAAGAATTCATGTACATCTTCATATAGTGAAGCCACATGCTAGGTGCCGATGCTGTGGTGTCTTTTCCTTGGCAAACTAGTGCGGCCCATCTGTTTAACACATCTGGATTTCTTGAGAAGCAGGGCAAGTTGTCAGCCGATTCTTCAAGTTTGTGAAGAGATCGTGGCTGGACAGCCAATGGCCCTGCACCAAACTTCTCACATACGCAATGGCAGTGTTTACCTGAGTACTAGAGATAGGATGGCTCATAAAAATATGAGTACGATACCTTTCCTCCTGGGACATCCATCTGCCCAGTCTGTTGGTGTGTGTCAGCCTTTAGACAGGGTCTGTCTGTACCCTTGTGTTATTGATAGACAGATCCCCTGCTGGTACCCTGTACTGGGAGCTGTGGAAGCTATTGCCTAGCAGACTTGTCTGTGGGCTGCTATGCATGTTGAGGCCCCAGTTTGTACACTTCTAATTGTGCAGGAGCTCAGCTATACACGAAGAAGCCATGCTGGCGGTGGGGTCCTTGACATTTGCTGTTGGCAGACCTTTTGTGAAGTACATGGAGAAATTCTATCCATTTTTGGAGATGGGTCTGAGGAATCACAAGGAATGGCAGGTGGGTTTTGTTTGCAGTATCCACATATAGGAACAGGCAGCGCGTTGGGCTGCACTTTCTCTTCTCCTCCTCGTTTTTCCCCTCCCCCCCCACAGCGAACCACACACAGAAGGAGAGGCCATGGTGTTGCCTGTTGGCAACCAGAGAGATGTGTAGTGCCTTGCAAGCCACAGCTAAAAACAAGTTTTGATTGTTCGGACAGCACCAAAAATGCATGCTGTATTGGGATATATTTCCTGGTGCAGAACTGATGTGCTTTCAGCACATTTGAGGCACAGCACCAAAGATTTCAAAAGGGTATGGGCTATGTAGCCTGGCCTTTGGCAAGTGTCGGGAAGGTTCGATGTTGCAGTGTTAGGTTGTTGCCGCTTTGGGGGCACTGTCGCAAGTTGTGCTGCAATTTGTGGCAATGGATGATCATCCTGATATCTCATCAGTTTGTTGCCAAGTTGTGCCACTGCTTTGCATATTGATGTTGTAGCAGACAATCTTCAAAATGGGCGATGCACACAGGAGATCCTGTGCACATATCAGTGTCGAATGCAGTGCGCAGGTGTGTTGCACCTCACGATGTCAATCCAGGTTGGGACTCATGCTTCATTATGTGGGGTATATGTGCCAGTCAGGGCATGCCTTTGCAGGTGATCCAGAATTTGAGCAGTGCTTATGCAAACCTGCTGTGCCAAGTTGGCAGACAGTGGTGCATGGCTCCCCTGTGAAGGTGTTGAAAGGGTTGCAGATCTGCATCTAAAGTGCATGGTGTGCTGCCCCCTGCAGGTCTGCCAGAGCACTGTTGGGACTGTGAGCGATGTGTGCCGGATACTGGAAGATCAGGCCCTCCCTTGGTGTGACAGTCTCATGAACCTGCTGTCAGAGAACCTGGCATGCAACAGTGTGCACCGGAGCATAAAGCCTAACATTCTGAGCGCTTTTTCAGATATTGCGATGGGCTTGGGGGAGCATTTCGAAAAGTACTTGGCCGGGGTGGCGCAGATCTTGAAGTCTGCAATGGAGCTGTCATTGCAAGGTGCTAATTCTCAAGACGAAGATTTCTGCGAGTACAACAACCAATTGCGAGCAGGAATAATTGATGCCTTCTCAGGCATCCTTCAGGTAGGACACACCTTGCATGAGCTGCACCAGTCAAACCAAGTTGTTATATGGATTGGACGTCACATTGTGGGATCAAAAAGAAGTCACAACAGTGTGTGCGGTGGTGGTCTGTGCTTCAATCAGTACAGCACTGTTTGGGATGCCCTCATGCTCATGGCATTGAGGCAACAGAATTTGTAATATCATCCTTGAGATAATACCAGGTGCTGGTGACCAGGCTCCGTTTGCTGTCAGCATAGAATGTGGCAAACATAGAATTTGGCCATGAACTGCCAGACACACGTGAACATGGCTGCTGTATGAGATAATGACGAATGCAGGACATGGATAACCACTATGCATTGTCCACAACAGGCCAGCCATCTGCCGACAACCGTTCTATCTGGCCTGTGAAAACATTCAGGTTTGTCAGAACACAATTCAGCCCAGCTGCAGCTGCCTCGTCATGAAGGTTATCAGGGCACAAGCCACATGCCTGATTGGTTGCTTCAATAAATTTTCCTCCCCTTGTCCTTGAAAGCTTGTTAGGTGTCTTCCCGGGGCATCTCCTGGTTGCTGAGTTCTTTCAACATGTGTGCCCCAAAGGGCCTGGGGCGTGCCAAGGCGGAGCAGCATCTGCAGCAGCAGGCCACGTTCATGATTGACTTCATCGGTGCTGTGATGGAGGATGCAAACAAAGATGCTACCTTGACCAAGTTGGCTGTAGGGTTGCTTGGGGACATAGCTTCGGCCCTCCCCAGTTTGGGTCCCTTTTTCACGTCAAAGCCATGGATAAAGCGCGCCATTGAGGTGAGCCTACAGGCCACGTAACTCTCCAATTGTCTGCTGACAAACTGTGTTCATTGTTGCCAGCAGAAGTATGCCGTATGTTGCATTCTCTGCCGCAGTTGTGACTCCTTTGTGCTTTGGGACAAGTTGGGGCTTGGCTGATAGAGACGTCGCACAGTGTTTCTTGCTCGCCAAGCGATCCATGCCTTCTTCATAGCTGCTGGCCTTTGTATCGGCGATTGTTCCACGAACGAAGGGCGCGGGCTGAGCAATGGGCTGGTTCCCTGCAGGAGTGCTACCAAAATCAGGCGCCGGGGATGAGGACAACTGCCGAGTGGGCGGCAAACCGCATTCGAGAATGTGCCAGCAGCACTGCCACATCATGATGTAAGGAAATCGTTGGGATTCGCTGCAAGGAGATTCGGAGGGAGGGCAGAAATCGGCTGGATATATCGGCCAGGTGACATCAGCCGAGCAGATTTCTGCGTGTCGGCAGGTTGGCACCAAACACTCTGAGAGGTACGCTGGGCGATCAAGGGCGCCTCGAATTTCGGACATCGGGCTCTGGAACGCTCTTCAGCCGCCGCCTCATGGACACGGCGGTCAAGGTTATCCTGCTGCCGAGGCGTTGGGGGATGAAGCACTTGTGCATGTGTGCTGTCACCGTCCGTCAGAAGTTCCCTCTTCTGGGATTCTTTGTATCCCAGGGGCGGCCTGCATGAATGTGTGGGCGTGCTAGTGCGGCAGGGCGCCGTAACGGTGCTTTCAGACGTGGTCTGGGGGTGGGCCACTGCTGGGATTAATGATCGAAGAAATTGTGGGCTTGAAGGTACTCACCCACCCTCGGCAATTTGTACGTTACATTCGCAGCAGGAGGACATCTCCGTTCTCGTTGTTTCATTGCAAGGGCGTGGTGAGGAGTTGTGTTTGTGCCTGTGTCTGTGTGTTTTGCGTGTGTGTGGAAGCAATAGATTGCGCATTTCATTTAAACGATGAATTCGTCTGTTTAAGGCGGAACCTGGGGGGCAATAATGTGATAGACTTGGTGAGTTCATGTAACGTGTCAGAAAATTGGGTGTCACGGTCGGTTGTGGATGCGCCGCATCGCTTGGCAAGGTGCGGAATCGGTATGCACCATCTCGTGGTACCGAATTGGATGGCGTTGATTGCCCCTTGGAGAATGGACTGCCATGTGGGCGATTGATGGCGCCCGTATTGGCGGTCATCACCGCCACCTGTGCGTGAACAAGCCACCAAGCCCCATGGAATGGGACTGCAGTGCAGTGTGGGGACAAGCACATGATGTCGTTACGTGCACCATACGCACATGGTGCCAGACCCCACCCATGGCATTGTTTCGATGCTCTGTCGTGGGTTTCTACGCGCACATCCCTGCGGCGAGTGGCGCTGGTAATTGCACATGGTTTTCATCATAAGGAAATGCGCGTGGCCATACAATGCGATTGGTGGCACCTGCACGTTCACTCCGCACTACCTCGTCCAATTACACCTCTCCATACTCCTACTGACTTCCCCCGTCGAGCAGCAAGAACGCAGAGTACAGGTGCACTGCCAGACCCCGGACACGGTGACCGCCTGAGAGCGCGACGACCCAAACGTCAATGGCCCACTGCTGAGAACAGCTGTCCTGCCACCGTCCCGCCCATCACAGCTGCTGCAGCAGGGAGAAGAGCTCGTCGACCGCGGCAGCCAAGCGCGTGCGGTGCCCCTCGTCCATGCCCTGCGCCTGTCGCATCCACTGCACGCACTGCCTCATGACCCTGTGCCTCATGAGGCCGAAGTGCAACCTCACCACTTCCTCGAATCCCGGCCTGGGCATCTTCAGCTGGTCGATCATGGCCCACCTGATGGTGTTCAGCTGGATTTCCGCGTTGTAGTTGGTGGATGCCGCGACGCCCTCCGACATGTTGCGCATTGTGTCGACCATGGGCTCGTTGAAGTATGGGTCCTCGACAAGTATCATGCCCTGGATGGACACCAGTATTTGGAACAAGTTGGACCGTCGGGCGTCCCACTTTTCGTGGGCGTCCACGCCGTGCCACGTGCCCAGCAGGGATAGGCACACCTTGCCGTCGTTGTAGAGGTTGGGGTTGAACCGAACCCGACCGCGACCAGTGGTCTCCAGGTTCATCAATGGGGGGACATTCGGGTAGTCTGACGGAAAATAGACGTCGAAGATGAAGCAGCCATAGCCGTAAGGGGTCCCATCGGGACCCGTGATCATGGCACGGACCTTGTCTATTCTATCTGAGTCGTGCCGAACGAAGATGGACGAGGCAGGGTATATGGGGAGCTGCGCCTTGGACATGAAATCCCGGAGTTCCTTGGTGAGCCTCTTCATCCCCTGTGGCTTAATGCCGCCAGCTTCTTCCGACATCTCTGTGAAGGCGCTGCTGTAAGCGCCAGGGGCGTTGGTGTCAAAGTCGCTAACGGCCAGGGCTTGCAGCTTCTCAACATACACGCTTTCCACATTCTCCTGCTCCCGCTCCTCAAAGGCGTACCTGTTCTCATGATCATGTGCTTCAACGGTTGCCTCAATCATGACAGAGTCCGCTGGCGTGTGGGCGTCGCCCATACCCACTTTGATGCGATTGACCTCTTCTACAAAACTTTCAAGCTGTTCTGCGTGCTGGTGGTGATGACTTGCTATCAGCTTCTCCCTTGCCGTGTCCAGAACTTTGATGGCAACGGCATCGAAATCGTGCTCCCTTGCCATGACGGTCCTGAATTTCTCATGTCGGCCAAGGCACAGCATGAACTCGCAGACACTGACCAGCATCTGGTCAGGGAAGAAATGGTACTGCTCGGGCTTCTCCACGCGCAGCTCTGAGCACCGAGGGCCCACAAGAAGCTCAATGAATCGCAACATGGCGTTGGCCGACCTCCCGCTCAGTGGATATTCCAAGAACGCCAAACCGACAACTGCATCAGCAGAGAGGAGGTTCAGCAACCGGAGGGTTGTGACGGCCATCCTCATGTACCCCCGACACGTGTGCTGCTGGCCCTCGCAGAAGCGCTGTTTCGTCTGCTGCTGCACTGCATCCAGTGCGTTCCATCCCGCCTTGTCGGCCATGGCTGCCTCAATGCTGTGAATGTCGTGAAGCCTGTCGAAACTGTCCTTCAAAAGGTACATCAAGTCGTTCAGCACAGAACCAACAAAATCTGAGAACAGGCTGTCTGAGCTCCCATCCAGCTCTGCCTGTGCCAGGCGGGTGATGCTCATCCTACACGTCTCATCCTTCCACAGCTGCTCTAAGATCGTGTCGATCGCATGCCGGGTGCTGAACTTGTCGTAAGCATCTTTGTCGACGTCCAGCCCGACCACATGGTCGGCAGCAGAGTAAAGGCGCATGAGCGCAGGCACAAGCCGCTCCTGGGCAGCGCCTGTGTACATATGATTCTCTTCATTAGCAACCGATGGTTGTCCAGTATGCTGCGCTAGTCTGCCACAAATACAGACGCCTTAGCGCTGTCAGAAAACAAGAGGTCTTATCAATGTCATTGTGTAGCATACTCCAGCACAGACCACAAGACACAGGACATGTACGCCATTAGACTAGAGAACACTGCTTGCATCACTGTGGTATGGAGAAATTCAAGGCAAAGTCTCCAATGGATAGGAACAGCAGATTCTACAAAATTGACAACTGAAACTCGACAATAGTGCTTGCAACAGTCCAAATGGCAGTGATTCAACACAAAAGGTACCTGTCCCCAGCACGGCTGCAACAAGGGTAGCCTCTCCAGGCCGAGTGACCACCCGCCCAACCACCGCTCCAGGGTTTACTTGCTGTGCATTCAGGAGGGAAGTTGTTGGAGACACCATGACTGACATCAACTCTACAATCTTTGATGCGACCAGGGGAGATCTCACAAGGTCTCTCCTCTCAATCAGCTCCACAAGACTCTCCATTAAAAGGCTAATGTCCACATCTCCAAAGAGGAGTGCCTGGCCGCCACGAATAATGAATATCAACCAAGACCCAATGTCATGTACCACACTCTCAGGAACTATACGAAATGCATCATCGTTGCCCTTGCGAATCAAACTCAACAGCCAGAACAACTGCAGCACTGAGAATTTGAGGGCATGGGCAGCCAGCACAGGGTCCAGCAGCTGTGTTTCTGTGCAGTCTCGCAGAAGGTGCTCATTCAACGTCAATCCTCCGGGCTGTTTACTCCTCCTTGAACGCCTGTGGAGCTCTTCCCACATATTTGAATAGCGGTTTAGGGCTGGGATGAGGGCAGTGTGCATCAGACGTTGGGTTATAAAGAAGCATTCGGTGACAAAATGCGGAGCCTCTGTAGGGTTTCTGCAGGCACAGGTCACACAGGGGCGATGGTCAACAGCACATATTATCATTGAAGATACAATACCACAATAAGTCACAGTCCACATGTCCACAGATCCCACACAGTACACCTCCGAATATGAACTGCTGATTGTGCTTCCCATTCCTTGTGTACACACGCACCATCGCCTATGCAAGGTGCAAGGTCAGCACTTTGTCTTGTAGAAGGCAGTTTTAAGCAAAAGATTGCAGCTTCCCTAATCGTGGTTGAAAGAAACTTTTCACGACAACAGACAAGAACAGACAACTGCAGCAGCTAATCCACCATACAATGGTTGCTATACACGAATGGGCATCTGTAGCAACACCAGGTTGGACAATAGCATGGGTCCTCTGAGTGCGTGAGTACAATCTCAACTTGGGACAACAAGCCTATCTGCAACCATGTTATATGACCGATGAATGTCACTGTGCACAAACAGATACTTCCTTTGTCTCAAACTAAATGTCCTCTATTTGAAAGACAAAATTCGTCACAAGGAAGGCCTCATAAGTACAAAACAAGGTCAGAATCGAAAAGATTGGGTCTCATAATCCTTAACTACCACTTTTTGTTAAAAAATACTCATCCCCATCACCTCTGAGGGCCCCTTAATTGCCACTTTTTGTGGAAAATACTCATCCCCATCGCCTCAGAGGGCCCCTGGAGACTGCCTAAGATTTGGCCCAATATTGTGCATTCTGATCTGGCGTTCCATTGGACACCCGCATGGTCCTGGATCGCTCATGTCCCAGGTGTGCCAAAGCAAAGTCATTGTTGCCATGGTGGCGAAGGGCAGTGTCCCTCACGTTGTACAGTGCTTGCCAAACATGCTCAACCGTGTTTGGATCCCCATCAATGAAGCCCTTTGCCATGGCATTGACAATGGTGAAATCGATTATTACGAAAATCTAAGGAGGTGACCCATTCGCCAATTAATTTGGGTTATTAATGGGAAGTAGTTATCTGGGGCCCCAAGGTATCCAAGGGAAAATCCCATTACTTGGGCTTCCCCTGTTATTTGGAAGCCCTTTCCCCTTTTTACCTACCATGGGGGACTCATTATAAGCCTGTAATATGCCATTGGGGGCTGTCCCCTTTGGCTCTAGTTCGGGGGGAGAGGGGGGGGGGGCGGCGGCAAACTGGGGCTGAATCGTACCCCGTTCGGGTGGCATGGACTCTAGGAAGTTTCCAGAGCTTGATGGGACTATAAAAGGGCGCGTGTCATGCCCTTGGTAGCATCCGTTTGGTCGCACTACTGACTGATTTGTTGTCGCGCCCCAACGCAAGGAGTGCTGCCATGGTACACCAGCCCCTCTGCATTTTGCGACATGCGTTTTGTTCCACTGCTGATTGACTTGTTGTCGTGCCCCAATGCAAGGTGTGCCACTGCGGTACGCCGCCCATGTTACATCTGCCCATTGTATAGACATATCATGGTCACCAACACGGTGCAAGCCAACGCACGTCCCGGCCATGCGCCGTCTGGACAGAGCCATTCTGGCGCAGGCAAGAGGGGAAACGGCTCTGTTGCGTCTCCCCACCGGACGCCACAATAGCCCAAGGATCGGCGGCCCCATTGGCCACAAAGAATCGGCGCACTCCATGCCGCATCATCGCCACCCTCCTTGATCTCAAATTTGAGGACTTGCAACAAGCAGAAAAGGCCAACACCCAAGATGTCCAAGCTTGGGCTCTATATGGGCTATCACTCTAAGATTGTCTTGTAACTTTACTGTTACATTGCGCCTTGACTGATCCCTAAATCGAGGCTTTCGTGCGTGGCTGGGGCCCACACTCCACAAATTGCCACTAGCGACCAACTCTTCTGTGTGGTCCACAACCCTTCGTAATCTAACTAGTCTCTACTTGTGAGAGAGACACAAACTTGTCATTTTGATCATTCACTTCGCATTCCATCCTTTCAAATGTAGATGCAAGGGCTACCCCGCCTTGGAAGCCATTCCTCTAATCGTCTGTTGTTGATTAGGGTGATGGCCATTGCATTCCTTCACACCTCTTCCAGAGGCTTGGGAGGCCTTTAGCAGCATCCCTCATAGTACCAATGGAGGTCCAAAGGTCGTGGCCCGAAAATTCGGGCCAGAAATGCATCCCCAAATAGGCCAGTCGATCTTGAACTAGGATAGCAAAGCCATTGCGACTTCCGCGATCAAGCCCACCAAGACACGTTTCTACTGCTTTGCTTCTTCGCAAGGACCTCTCCAAGCTTTTATCCAAACGGCATCGATAGTTTTGCATGGGCGGCTCCGTTCAGCCACCACGAAGGCGTGCTCCTCAAAATCGCGAAAACGGCCATTTTCGTAGAGCTGTGGCAAACGGCTGTTTTCTAGCCAGAGGACCCTTACTACAAATTACTGTCAAATCCTCAATGCTTAAACGGATTGACTAGAAATCTTCATCACATACTCTGAAAACGTAGGCACAGCCTTGGACAAAATTTCATTGGAAAACGAGAACTTATGATGGAGAAGTGATGTGCAAAAGTCATAGAAGACATTTAATTTGGGACAGAGGAAACATATGCCTAACCATAGGCAAACCCATGCATACTGCTAGGTTTTTTCCCATACATACGAAAACTTCTGGTGAGAATTAGCATCGAGAGGTCTTTAGGTACTTTTACTTGTGTGCGATGGCAACGAATTGATCCAGTAAGTGGCACATGTGCTGTAATACTGAGCACACTACAACGGATATTGAGGAAATTAAAGCTCGTGCACAGAGAACAAATTTTGTCACCAAGGCAACATCCAGGGATAGAATACACAGCACACGCATGACATGTGGCCCAATCTGATTGATGATGGATTGCCTGGGTCTGCAGTACTGGCTTGATCAACAACACACTTCTTTGCCAACATATGGCAAGGAAGAAACTAACAGTGCTGACATCCCCATACCCAGTTGAAACTCACCTGGGTGCAAGAAATTTCGTCTTTTCCCTACTCCCCACAGCCTGTCTTCGCCCAGCCAGGGACCTCTCAAAGTTTGCACCGCCCACCCTGAAGGGGTTTGTCAGGTAGTACATTGGGTCCAGCCTTTGCATGAACTTTTCTTCACCCTTCATGAAAGGACGGCAGAATCTGAGAGCTACAGACAGCGCTCCCAGCATGAAGCCGTCACTTTGGGTCCCCATCACTGACTGTACTGCCTGACGCTCCCCTCCTCTTGTTCGTGACTCACCCAGTGTTGCCACTGCAGCAAGCCATGACATGACAGCCTCTCGACCACACTGTGGAACGATAGAATTCTTTGCCTTGACCAGACGCATGCATATCTCTTTGACAGCACTGTGGAAAGGCAAAAGACAAGTAGTTGAGGCCATGGACAAAGCAGAGAGCAACTGCCACAGCAATCAATCTCTTCTATGCAGGAACACAGGAAAAAGACAAGATTGATGCCCACATGCTCCCCACAAGGTGCCCAGAATACATTAAAGACAGACAAGGCAACCTGTGCTGCAAAGCATTTCGCAAAAAGAAGAGCCTGCGACACAAACAGATGCAACACAAGTCATTCCTAATGCAGCATGGAACAGCATAGAGTAATACCGGGTGTGAATGCACACCTGTGAGAATCGTCCATGCAAGTCCTTATGAAATTCTTGCCGCTTTCCACTTTCCCTCGGTTGTTTGGGTATCCATTGGCAGATGTGAACACTTCCCTGGTTGGGGACTCTATGTTACTCCGGAATGTTGATGGATTCACAACGCTGGACACAGATAGCGGACTCTTGAAAATGCTTGAAGATTCACGCCATGTTCCAGACTCCATCTGCTCAACTTCTTGGAGCAGAAGTAGTGTCAGTGACTGCTGGAGCTGAGGCTGCTGTGTCAGAACATCAAGGATGTAGATCTGTGGACCCAGGCTGTTCGCAACCTTGAAATTGCACTTGACAGACCTGCGCAAGCATGAGAAGAACCTTAAGATGCAAAGACTACACAAGGGGGCAGATCGCAATGGGCAGTATTGCAGTCCTCACAAGCAAACTGCCACACAAGCAATCTCTATCAGGGCATCTCGTGTTGTTCACAATCCGCACTGGCAGCTTTTGCAAAACTGTGCTGCCCTAGCAGCAGATCAGTTGGCAATACATCAGCAGCAGTTGGCCCTTGGTCAACCTAAATGATATGGCACTCACATGAATGCGATCAAAGCGCCAGTGAACCAACTGCCCCTCCAAAGCACCTGAGGATATCAATGCTGTGGTGCCCCTGCCAAGGGGGTGCACAACACATGCTGGCCTGTTTACCTGAAGGCTGCAAACAACAAAGACTCAAAGACCTGCAAATCCTCTCGTCCGCTGGCACATGCCAGCATCCCCATAAGGTAATTGGATGTCAGCGTTCGATTGACCAAGCCAGACTGAAGATCTGCCTTATGTTCACCATCCTCAAAGTAGATGTCTGCATCGTCATCCATCAAAAGGGCCATGCCCTTGCGGGCCACCCTGTCCTGTACCATCTCCAACAAGGGTGCCACCATGGTGTCAACACCACCTTTGTCAAGCTTTTGAACACACTGCTCATATGCCTCAGACAAAACATGCAGCATTGGCTTTCCTGGACCCCTTCTGCCAATCATCGTCCTGACCAAGGCATCCATCGCAGACAACGTAACCAATTGGCATGCGGTGTCATTGGGTGCCGCCTCAAGTCTCAAGCTACTCGTGTGGTTTGAGACTGGTATGCCCAGAACTTGGCTCAGCAATTCCAGAACAACAGATGTCTGTGCAGTGGGGAATTTGAAATTGTCACTCTGGGGTTTGCCAGTGGGTGTGTGGCTCAGAGCTGCCTGGACCCATTTGGGACGTCCTGAGAAGGCAATGGGCACAGGCCTTTCAGAGAAGGGAGACAGAGATTCACCTGCACAGACAATTACACGAAAATGTTTCAATGGATAATGGCCAGGGGCGATTATAACAGACTTGCTGCACAAGAAGCCCTTTCAGAAGTTTGGGTTTCATTAGTCAACCAACCAGTGGAGCTTGAAGCATCATTTGGTGCATTCAGAAGTGGCCAATTGTGGAAGGGGGGGTACATGAGTACCACTTACTCTCAAAATGTCCGGCCCTGGCCTGCTTCAATATGCATCAGTCACAGAAAGCAATGGCAACCACCCTGCGCCGCTGTGAATATCTCGTGCATCACACCTCAAGCCTACCATACTTAACAAGTAAATATCTGTTGCATTTGTCAATCTGACAAAGGTAGTGATGGCATTCACCGAAAGGTGGAATGCGTATCCCCCAGCCGCTCCATGACTTGTGTACCTTCTTGTCAGGTCCAGAAGTAGAAAACGTGGCACATTTATGAAGCATTCCAACAATCACACAGCACACAAGATATGGAATGCATTGGCATCATTGTGTGAGGTGCAGCACCTGGCAATGACCTGGGTCCGGCAGTCTCTTGCTCTTGTTGGGCCCTCTGTGCAAGGCCAGGCTGGCTGGCAGCAGACAGAGCTGCAGCAAGGGCATCAGCAGTCACAGCACGTCCCATGCTTGAGCCATTTCCAGGATTAGACGAACCCACTGCCTGTTCCACCCTGCTGGTTTCGGACTCCCGCAACATAGACGTCTGTTCGTTACCTTGACACTGCCCTGCCACTGACAGCGCGGCTGCCAGTGTGCTGGCTGTGACCCCAGCCCCACCAGCATCACCAGATGGGCCTTCACTCTGTTGTGGCCCAATTGGGCCAGATTGGCGATCCTGTCTCAGAGACAATGCCAGGGCCTCCAGGATGTCGTCTTCCTGCTGAGGAGCCACGCTCTGTGCTGAAGAAGGGTAGGCGTGAGCAGACTGGGCTGTGGAGCTTGCAGCATTGTACTGCTGAGGCCCAGATGGCGCCCTCGAGCTGGCACTGGGCAGAGACTGATGTTGCGACTGGCGCCGGGACTGTTGCAAAGTGACGTACCATCAGATGCAGCAGCATGTACACTTTTCTCGGGCAAATCGAAATTTGCAAGCTTGTCACAGGTCTTGTAACAATTATCAATGTGCACTTGGGCATACAAGATGCCACACAACTCTCTCGCTGAAAGTTGGGCTAGGCTCAACTAACGCACACAATTGAGGCCATGATTCGTAAATATTGCAGATTGTGGACATGGGCATGAGGAATAGCGTCCTTGTTCTCCCTGCAACACCCGATGGCCGCTTACGGTGAGCCCCATCCTGGCAACATGATCCCCACTGCATCCCCCCCTTCCCGTTTTCCTTTGTAGAAGATCGCCCCACCTCTGCCAGCACCTCCTGCATCTGCAGCTCCTCGACCATATTCAGCTGGTCACCATCATGAGCGGAAGCGGGAGCTCCAGGGCTGTCAGATCTAGAGCGTCGCACCTTGGTCTTGCCTTCCGAATCTGGACCAACAAGACCAGCGCCTGTCGTTTAGCTGCTCGGAACAAGTCCTGGCGCATAGCAGACAGTGCCGCGGCCCACGCAGCCCACCTGCTTCGGAGGCACCTTCCCCAGCCCTCTTTGCCTGCCCCTGGCCTCGGAGACTCGTTTCTGCGTTGGAAGTGTCCTCAGGTTCCTGTCAGGGATCACACCAGCCACCTTCCATCCATTAGCGCCTTTGCACCAATCAACGGATGGGGCGGTCGAGCGGCAGGTCAGCGCACCCACCTGCATGGACAGCTCCATCGCGAGCCGCAGCAGCGGGTCGTCTTCGTCCATGGGGTCCATTCTTGAAGCCGGGGTCGCGGTCTGTTGGCCTTGGGCAGGGAAGCCCGGACGGGAAGTTTCTGCATTCCTCTAGCCCTGGCTTGTTTGCTCCAATGTATGGTCGGTACTGACGACGCAGCGAGGAGATTGTATTGCTATTGTACCGCATACGTTCCATACACACCGCGACAGGCTGGGTTGGGGCTGACACTGTCGATTGTGGAAAACCCGGTCAAACGGTAAGTTGACGCTCCTTCCCCCCTCCCCCGATGCGTGCTCATCATTTCGCAATGGGAGACCCCACGCCATCTTTTTGCAGTGTAGAAGAGTCTCGCACACACCCGCTTGGGAGGCGTTGCCCATTGGACGACTTGTTCTCGTTCGGCCTGCAACAAACCTTGCACTCCTCTTCCTTAGCGTCAATACGACATTCAGCGCACCAGTATTGACACAGTGTCACCCTCTATTGGTAAGCATTCGTATGCAATAATGTTACTCATCTAGTTCCTTTGATTGAAGAAATGACGTCACGAACGTGCTGTCGGGGCGCAAGGTTTACAAACGTGGGATGGCTTGTCGATGCCGCCCCGTCGCGTTTGCACCCGCCGTGCAAGCCTGCAGGTCAGAGTGCCCCCCTCAGTACATGATATGTTTCCGCAGCACATCGCCCCTTCGACAGCTGTGCGTTGGAGGCAATAATGGTGCGTTGCAGACAGCTGCCGGCTTGGCGCATAGATATGCTACAGTGCATATTGTTCGGGTCACCAGGGTATCTGAACATGAAGGTGCATATTGTTCGGGTCACCAGGGTATCTGGACATGAATGTGTCGACATTCTCGTTCCCTGCGATAGCAAAGCCAAAATAGCAAAATTCGGCCTGGCGGGTTGGTCCTCATTTCTCAACGACCGTCAGGCTGGCTGGCGCCCCAAGAACTGGCATATTTGATTGCATTGAATGGGTGTGTCGGCGTATTCTCCATCTTGTTGGATCTTTAGCAACACGTCCCTCGCCATCTTGGGTCAACAGAGGTTCGCTTGCGAAACACGCTCATTGGGTTCTGGACCACGAAGGGCCCCAGGGTCCTAGTTCAGTGCAACTTTCTACTTATCTGTTGTTCCCAACACAAACCATCAGGGGCGCCCCAGTCAGCGAACAGCCGTTCATGCTCCTGTACATAGCGAAGGATCGTGGTCGGCACTATTGTGCGGGGTTTTGTGAGAACACGCAAGTGCGTCCGCGCGAGAAAGGGGTTCGCTGATGGGATGGGACCCAAGGGGCCTTCATATCCGTACTTTAGGCAGGGATAGCGCACCAAAATGGGGCCTGGTTAACGAGACCTTGTGACGAGACCGTCCAGACAGGCACGGTACCCAGTACCCAGCACGACGTAATAACCCTCATGCTTTCGTTTGCAGCGCGCTTGATGTCAGCGGGTGTGCTGTCTCGGCTTCAGGCACCCTTCGCCGGGCATCGGTCAGCCCCAGGCCGGAGGCCCGAGCGCGTGTCTCCTCCTCCTCCTCCTCAGATCGTGACGCCGACGCAGGGGCAAGATGGCGGACGGGCCGGGTGAAGGCGCCGCTCGGACGGCGTCCATGGTGGCGTGCGACCAGAACGGTTCGGCGCCTTTAATCTGGAACCCGGTCCTCAACAGGGGCACCCGGTTCAGCCGCAACGAGCGCCTTGTGAAAAACCTGCTGGGGCTGATCCCACCCGCGGTGGAGAGCCTCGAGCTGCAGGCCGAGCGGGTGATGTCCCAGCTGCGGGAGGCGAGCAAGGACATCGACAAGTACACCATCCTGAACGATCTGGCGACGGCCAACCTGAGCCTGTTCTACAAGGTGCTGGTGGACAACCTGGTGGATCTGCTGCCCATCGTGTACACGCCCACCGTGGGCCAGGGCTGCATGGAGTACGGCCGCCTGTTCCGCAGCCCCCTGGGGATGTACTTCTCGGGGTTTGACGACAAGGGCAGGTTTCGGGAGATGCTCGACAACTGGTACTCGGATGAGGTGGATATAATCGTGGTCACTGACGGCGGCCGGATCTTGGGGCTGGGCGACCTGGGCACCAATGGGATGGGCATCTCCGTGGGGAAGATATCGCTGTACGTGGCGGGCGCGGGGTTCCACCCGGAGAGGGCGCTGCCGGTGACCTTGGACTGCGGCACCGACCGCAAGGAGATGCTGGAGGACAAGTTCTACCTGGGCAAGAAGGTGCCGCGCCTGCGCGGCGACGCGCACATGGAGGTGGTGGAGGAGTTCTGCTTGGCAGTGAAGGAGAAGTGGCCCAACTGCCTGGTGCAGTTCGAGGACTTCCAGACGGAGAGGGCGTTCGCAATCCTCGACAGGATGCGGGACAGGATGCTGTGCTTCAACGACGACATCCAGGGCACTGGCGCTGTGGTGTTGTCCGGCTTCATCAACGGCATGCGCGTCCAGAAGACGGACCTGAGCGACGCCCGCGTGGTGTTCTACGGCGCCGGGTCCTCGGCGTGCGGCGTGGCGGGCATGATCGCCAAGCTGATAGAAACGGAGGCCAAGGTGAGCAGCCAGGAGGCCTTCAAGGCGGTGTATCTGGTGGACAGCAAGGGGCTGATCACCAACACGCGCGGCGACAAGCTGGCGCCGCACAAGGTGCCCTTCGCGCGCACGGACGGCACGCCCAACATGACGTCGTTGGTGGACATCATCGCGCACGTCAAGCCGCACGCTCTCTTCGGCCTGTCCGGCTCCGGGCCGTCCTTCGACAAGGGGGTCATTGAGGAGGTGTGCAAGTACTGTGCGCGGCCGCTCATCTTCCCGCTGTCCAACCCCACCTCCAAGGCGGAGATCACGGCGGAGAACGCCATCCACTGGAGCAAGGGCAAGGCGATCTTCGCGGCGGGCTCCCCCTTTCCCGAGGTCGAGTACGAGGGCAAGACTTACAAGCCTGGCCAGGCCAACAATGTCTTCATCTTCCCCGGGGTGGGCTTTGGGGCCGTGAATGTCAAGGCCACCAAGGTCACGGACGAGATGCTCGTTGCCGCCGCCAAGGCCCTGGCGAAGTCCGTGTTTCCAGAAGAGCTGGAGAGGGGGCAGATCTATCCGGAGATCCAGGACCTGAGGAAGATATGCGTGAAGATCGCTGCTGAAGTCGGCAAGTGTGCAATGGAGCAGGGGGTGGCGCGCCTCGACAGAAAGCCATTCAACATGGCCGCGCACATGCTGTCTAGAATGTGGACGGCAGGGGTGGACGATGAGTAGGTGTGTGTCGCGAGGAGCAGCACGATTGCTGGTGTTGGCTCCTTCAATTGCTCCTGTCTGTATCAGAGCTGTGCTAGCGGTTTTTGATCGAGGATTCGCAGCAGCTGTTGCTGACCAGGGCTCGCCGAATGCCAGCGGCCTTGCCCATTTCATGGCTGTTGCACACATACGAAAGGCCTCACTAGAAGGTAGCTGTACTGACAGATGCCTTGGTTAAATGCATCGCAGAATGTGTGTCCTTGTGATCATGCATCGTAGTTTATGTCCATTCGTTCTTGTATGTAATGTTTGGTCTTCGCATGCCTGTTACTTGTGGCCAGATGATGCTTGATGAGTCAGTGTTTGTGTAGGGATGTAGCATTCGAAGCGTCAATCCAGCTAAAAGATTGAAAGGGGAAAGCTCGATCTTCAACTCAATCGAAGGAGCCTGGCAAAAATGTCCGCGGCATTGCACATGTCACATCCTGGGTTCACAAAGGGTGGGGCTGTCATGTTTGTTCACAGCACTCACAGACAATGCCCCACAACAGAATAGTCCTGCCAACAGACAGCAGCCTATTTACCACTGTGCATGACAGGAAACAACAGCCCTGGGTGAACTGAATGTCCCACCAGGATGCGTTGCCCACAGCCATTCGTCCAATGCATGCAAGAGACACAAGTGCCTGTTCATGGAGAAAGCAGCTGCTTGCTGGCAATCGTGCACAAGCAAATTTCCTGCTGGCAGAGGCAGTCAGCCACAGATTCGCTTTGCAGTCATGGCACTTGCAAGAAACCAAGATTCCTCCAGCTCTGGCCATACAGTGAGAGTAATTCCAGCAAATGACAATTCAGTGCTCAGCACATGCACGAATTGCCATATGCCAATTCAGGAAAGTGG